TGCCCATACTCATCGAAGTATGCAACAGTAATGTAGCCCTAAATGCGGTCAGAGACGTCTTTTTGAAAAGCGCGCCCGGCAGTATGCGCATTCGGTATTGACTCTTGAGTGAGTGCTTGTGATTGGAGATTGTAAGTTGGACTGGCAGAGAATATATCGTCACAAACAGAACTGCCCGGTAAACCGTAGGCAGAGAGAGAGAAGAAGACAACAAACGAGGGGCTGTGACAAACTGTTTCGTTGGAGTTTCACCGACTCATATGTGAATGACATGGTGGAACTAGTGGGTGCGGTACTTTGTGGGGTAGGCGTGATACTATGTGGGCTGGATGTGGGGGGGGTAGGCGCGGTACTATGTGGGGGGGGTAGGCGCGGTACTATGTGGGCTGGATGTGGCGGTATGTGTGGGGTGGGTGTGGTGCAATGTGGGATGGCGCAGGGGGGGGTGTAGGCTGGCTGCAGTACTTAGTGAGCTTGGTGTGGTACTATGTGGGCTGTGTGGAGTAGTATGTGACATTGGTGTGGTGTGGCACTATTTGAGTTTGGTGTGATACTATTTGAGCTTGGGGTGGTATTATTTGAGTGCGGTGTAGTGGTAGTATGTGAGCTTGGTGTGGTACTCTACTTGAGTTTGGTCTGGTACTATGTTTGGCTGGGTGCAGTATCAGGGGGCCTGAGTGGGGTACACTATGTACTATGGGGGTCAGCGCTGCTACGCACTATGGGCCCTGGTTGTGGTACTATCTACTATGGGGGCTGGGTGGTGTCATGTGTGGGTTGTTTGCAGTGGGATCTGGCTAGGTGCAATACTATGTGAGCTTGGTGCGGTACTATGTGGGCTCGGGGCAGCTGTGTGTGGTCCTGTTTGGGCAGAGTGCAGTGGGCTGGGTGTGGCATTTTGAAGACAGGGTGTGGTACTATGTGGGTCAGGTGCGGTACTATGTGTCCTGAGTGCAGTACTATGTGGGCTAGGTGTCCTGGTGTGGTACTATATAGGGTCTGTTGTGGACAAAAAAAGGAAAAGCCTCAAAAAAGGCCATGAAGGGGAAAGGCCTGGTTGTTTGCACTACTGGTTAACAGCCCGCCCCCCCCCCCCCCCCCCTTCTCCCCGTTTCAACCCCTGACTAACGGGCCGAATACTGAGATTACGGTTTGGGGTAATTGCGGGGCTTTTTTTTTTTGCCTGTTTTTGTTTTAGGTCAAGGTTACTGCGTGTCAAATTCGGACCAAAAAAAAAAAAAAAAAAAAAAAAAAATCGAACTGTTCAAAATTCCTCTGTTGACATTTCTGAGATTTCTGACATTTTCTGAAATTTGGGGGCCGTTGGGCAAGTTTTGACGTAGTTTGCATGAAAGTGCACCTTTGCCTTGAAGTTGTATGCTGGGCTTTGTTTTTCTGTTTTTTTTCCCCTTGTTTTTTTAAGTCTTTTTCTTTTTGCTGTTGGTTAGTATGGTGTTCACTCTTTATTTATCGGTGACAAGCTTTGACTGAAAAGGGCTCTGGTTTTCTTAAAAATTTGCATGACAAATTTCTGAAAGCTCGGGTCTCCGTCAACTGCCTCTCGGTGTTTGAAACAGAATAAAAAGGGCCATGTGAATCTCGTATGTACGTGTTTTGTTTGTTTTTTTTTTGTTTTTTTTTACCATTTTCTCAGGCTACCAGAGTGGCCCGGGACCACTTGCCCGGCTGGGCCAAAAAAAAAAAAAAAAACACTC